GGGGGGGGGAGGGTGCAGCCGTGCAGTCGTATCTTCTGCAGATAATAAAACCCAGGGAGCCTCCTCCTTTCCTGGCTTCCTTTTACCTCCTGCTTAACTGTGCGATGTCAGTGTGTGCCAAAACCCGCCTGGCTCCAGCGAAATGGGCCACAAACGGGATCCCTTTGCAGCAGCGGGGTGCCCGTCTGGGGATGGAGCACAGCGGGGTCCCCCACGTGTGCAGCTCCCACGTGCGCCCTGCCCACGGTGCGACCACCCCTGCCTGCAGCCCAGCCCCGGGACTCGCTGCTCTGGGTGGGCGGGACAGCGATCCCAGCCGCCCCTCCTCCAGGACTGCCGCCCTGCAATGTGCTGGCTCCCCTCCTGCCACTAAATATAGATGTTTGACACCTCCAGGTGCAGAGCTGGGAGCTGGGGACCACCTCCTCGGCTCTGCTGGATGGGAGACTGCAGCACAGGCTGCTCCAGGCTGCACTCCTTGGTTTCACGTTGCCACCCTACTCTCTTTTTCCTGGGTGAGGAGAAGCAGTGGGATTTCAGGAGGAAGCAGCACCTGGAGCCCTTTTTGGGGAGCTGGGTTTGCGTGTGGCCACTGCTGCCTTGCAGCAAGGTGGGAACCATTCCAGTAAAGCAGACCCAGCTCTGCCTGCCCATTGAGCCCCATCCATCGCTCTCAAGGGCCCCTTTATGCAGGGACTGAATTGTGCTCTGCCTCCATGGCATCCCTCACCTTTCTCCTCTTTGATGCTGCCTCAGCAAACCACACCACACGAGGACGGGGTGCCTGTGTGGCTGCTGTCACCAATTCCACGATCTCCACGCTCTCTCCTTGCACTGTGCATCCAGGGTCAGAGTTCCTATGCCGCTGTGTGCTGACCTGGGGCACTTTCAGCTCCTTCCAGGTCCTGTAGAACCTTTGCACTCTGCTTCCAGAAGAGGGTTTCTGTGCTCCCAGCAGGTGCCACATGCTGTGGCCCTGCTGGCATGGGGGCTGCAGGGGCTGACGAATCTGCATGGCCAGGTCTGTGCTGCAAGGTGCTTCCTTGGGCACTGCACTTTCCACGGTAGCCCTGAGCATCGCTTGCTTGCTGAGAGAGAATCTCAGCAGAAACCTGTTCTGACCGTGGTGCTTTGGGGGGATGCTTGGTCCCAGCAAGAAAAGCAAAGCTGTGCTGACACAGCCCACCCCACTCCCTGCAGCATGGAGCAGTGATGCGCCAGGAGCCTCAGCTTCTGTTCAGGGGAAATTTTTTCTGCCCTCCCACTCGCTCTGCTGAAATCCACCAACCATAGCATTTACCGATTTTTTCAGCCCAGCACCGCTCCACCGGCCATATTGGGCTGTGGAAATAAAGCAGCTCTAATGTTATATGTCACCTGCAAATAACCCGGGCGTTCGAAAAAAGCAAACCACCACAACCCACACCAACACCAAGCCCTCTCCACACACCCAACTCCTTCACAATGAGCCCGGATGCCTGGCTCCCTCAGCCTGTCCTGTGCCTCTCTGCCCTCAGCCTGCTGTTCTCGCTGGGTAAGTGCCACCCCAACCCCTTGCATGGGACAGCACCCAGGTGGGGAGAAGCCCCCTCCCCCTATCTGGGCCCTGAGAAGCCCCTGTGGGAGAGGAGCAGCGATGAGATGCTGTGCTGCAGGGATGGGGTGAAGATGCCCCGAGGCCAAAATCCGCAGCCAGGGTGACCTGCTTGTGGGCAGGGTGGGGGTACGCTGCAGCATTGCCTCTCCTGACAGCCGAGCGTCCTGCTTGCTGGGGTTTGCTGCGCACGGCGCTGGTTGCACGCCCTGCAGGGCTGCGGCAGGGATGCTGGCTGCTTTGCTTGGCTGGGGTCAGCCTGGTGGGCTGTGGGTGCTTCGTGCTGTGCTTTGGGGTCAGGGAAGCAGCGGGGCGTGGGGGTGGGGAGGGTGGGGAAGTGGGGGTGGGGGGGAAGGGGGGAGCTGCGCTCTGCTCTCTGCGTCCCTGCCCTGCCCTGCAGCCAGGAGCGTGTGTCAGCAGGTTTGGAGCTGTATCGATTGGGAAGCAGGGATGCATCCATCACCTCTCCAAGGTGCTGCTCGCCCTGCCCTGGAGCTGCTGGGGGGCTGCCTTGGCTTTAGGAGAGGGATCATCAGATGGAGGGTAAAAGCTCAGTGAGGTCTTCTTCAGAGTCTAGGTGTCATTTAACCTCCTGAGCCCAGGGGAGCAGGGTAATGTGTGACAGCACTTGGGCTCACAGAGCACCAAAGGGCACAGCCTGGATGGTTGGTCCCAGGGGTTTCTTTCGCCACTGATCTTGTCTCTAGCTGCTGGAGTCCGCTGGCTAGGGCCATTGCTGGGACACATGCATGTCAGCACTCCTGGGGCATGAGTGAGCTTCCCATGAGGACCCCTTGGCTGCACCGCAGTCCTGCAGTGCTTGGTGTCTGTGCGAAGCTCCTGCCCTCTGCAGAGCACTGGGAGTGCAGCACAAAGCCAAGTGCAGGCTGAGAGCCCGGGACACAGCACATGGCTGGGGGCATTCAGGCTGCATGGGGGCTTCTGAGGCAAGCAGACACCCAGATCTCCTCTCTGCCAGGATTCTTTGGAGGTGACCATGTTGTGGCTGAGGCAGTAAGGCAAGGACATGCGTTGCTGCAAGGCAATGGGGAAATGGCTTGGGATTGGCACCAGGTCCCGTCTTGCAGCCAGGATCTGCAAGGCAGAAGGTGTCAGTGCCGTTATTGCTGTCTCATGGGGTGCCGTGCCCCTTTGCAGCCCATCTCTGCCCCGTGCCCTCCTGTGCAAACTGTGGGTGGGTGCTGGGTTGTGGGTGCTGTTGGGGACAGCTGGAGATCTGGGGAGCTGCATGAGAGGAGTGGAGGTGTGCGCCCATGCATCAGCTGAGCAGTGCCAGCCACACTGGGTGCTGACCCAGTTTCTGTGCCAGGAGTGCAGGGAGTGGCTTCGTCCTCCCAGGGAAGAAACTGAGCTCTAGATCCCCTCTCTCCCAGATGGAGGAGCTTTGCCTGAGCCCCACAGTGTGTGGGGGAGCATCTGCAGCCCTCCAGGCCTGTCCCTGGCAGCTCCCATCCCGTGCTGCTGTAATGCGTCCTGTCTGGAACAGAATCTGATGAGCACAGCCATAAATTTCCCTCCCTGCAGCCGTGGTGCTGAGCCCTGCAAGCTGATGCTGCATCCACCCGTTTGCATAGCGGGATCGATTCTGCAGCAGCAAAGCCTTGTTTAAGCAGCAAGGAGCAGGGATTGCTTGGTGTCAGCAGAATTTGGTGCTGGGAGCCATCAGGCCAGCATGGCAAAGGGGGACATCAGCCATTGCCACAGTGCTTTCTGCCCAGATCTGGGGGTGTCCCCATGTCCCCCCAAGCCATAGCATGCAGAAGGGCTGAAGGGCACCAGGCTGGGAGGTGGTTATGGATGGGAATCTGTGCCCCTTTAACACATTTGCACTCTCATCTCAGTGCCCACAGGGCTGGGAATGGAGGTGATGGCTCCCCCCATCATCAACGCCATGAATGGCAGCTCTGTAAAGCTCTCCTGCACCTTCAACTCCTGCTACAAGGTGGAGAACAAGCAGTTCTCCCTCAACTGGACGTACCAGGCGTGCATGAACTGCTCTGAGGAGCTGGTGAGTGCCTCAGGGCTGCTGGGAACCCCGGGCTGCATGGGGTGCCCTGGCCATCTCCTTGAATGGGGTGAGCACGGCACGGTGAGGGATGGGGCTTGGCTGGGGGGGACGAGGGCTCGGGGTACCCCAACAACTCTCCCCACTGCGCAGTTCCTTCAGTTCCGGATGAAGATCATGAACAAGCAGCTGGAACGCTTCGGGAACCGGGTGGAGTTCACTGGGAACCCCACCAAGAACGACGTGTCCTTCACCCTCAACAACGTGCAGCTGGAGGACGAGGGCACCTACAACTGCTACGTCCTCAACCCCCCGGACCGGCAGCGGGGCCACGCCAGCATCAGCCTGAAGGTGCTCACCGAAGGTCAGTGCAGCCCCATTCTCATGCCCAGAGGTACCCTTGGGTGCTGGGTGCCAAGGGCTGACCTTGCCCCGTGTCCCCAGAACCCCCAAAGCGCGATTCAACGGTGGCTGTCATCGTGGGTGCCTCCGTGGGCGGCTTCCTGGCCGTGGTCATCCTGGTGCTGATGGTGGTGAAGTGCGTGCGTCGGAAAAAGCAGCAGAGGCTGAACACGGATGATCAGAAAACGGAGGAGGAAGGAAAGACGGACGGCGAAGGCAACCCGGAGGAGGGCACCAAGTAACTCACCCTGCTTCCCCCATCACTGTACAGCGCGTCCCGTCCGTGTGCTTCCCACAGCCAGGATTGCTGTCTGCCCAGAGTAACCCCCTGCCACCCGCACCGCCAACCCGCCTGGAGCAGGGCGCAGGGAGGAGCAGGGAGGGCCGGGGGGGGGCTGGCTCCTGCCCCACAGCCGGGCTGGGACCGGCTCATCCCTGCTCCATGGAGCACGGGTGCTGGGGATGGGGGGGGGGGGGGGGAGAGCACCGATGTCCCCATCCCATCCCTGATTCTGCCCGTCCTCGTGCTGGGGTGCCATGGTGAGAGGCTCGTGGCTCCCGGTGTGTCACGGACGTGCCCTTCTTGGGCTGTATTTGGGCCTGAGCACCTCATCCGAAGGTGCTGGGCTGATTATTCAGTATGTGTTTACTTCCCGGGGAGATGATTGTAATGGAAAGTGTTCTCCTTATGTGCCAAACCGCAGTGGCGGGGAGAAGGAGCAGCGCGTGCCGGGATGGAGCGGCGCAGCCATCAACCCGAGCCCAGGACCCAGAACTGCCCTCCCCGGCTCCTGAGGGGCCCTGCACAACTCGTACTGCCACGGCCACGCACTGCCAGCCCGTGGGGCCCCGCGGTGCCACCCCCAAAACCCACAGTCCAACTCCTGCCCTGCTTGCAGCTCCCTCTGGGAGCCTTTGGGCAAATCCTTGCCCTGTGCGTCCAGGTCCTTGCAGGGTAGCGGTGCCAGCAGAGACAGCAAGCATTGCATCCCCTGCTGCACCGTGTCCTGCTGTCCCTTGTCCTGCTGTGGCCAGGACGTGCCCTGCTCTGCCCCATTCTCCCCTGGGCTCAGCCCGCTGCCTGCACCCACACGCACAGCTGCATCGCTTTGCTGCTCCATTGTGAGCAGTTTTTGGGGCCAACTCCAGCTGTGAGCTCACAGCCAGCCCCACACCTGCCTTCATCTCACTCATGCACTGTCCTTGGATTGCAACTTGCCAATGCATCTGTCTGTACATAGCTGTAAACAACGGAGAGTCTACAAATATATATATAAATCTATATATATATATGGGAGGTGCTGCTATTGGCCATAGCTGTACTTTGGGTTTGCGCCTTCCAATGTTTGTTTTGTTTTTCTTTTTGCCAAACATTCTGCTGGTGGTGTTTTTGCCAAAGCCTGACTGGAGGATGTTTTTATTGCTCTTTGTACAGTTAAACAAACAGAGGAACAACAAAATGCAACGTGTGCGTTGGGTGCTTTCATACCTCTGACTGCAGAGCAAGGTGGCTCCGGGGAGCCCAAGATTCAGGACCAAGCCCTGGGCTGCCTATAGCCTCCCTGCTCTGCCTCACTTGGGCAGCAGTTCTGCTTTGGGTGCTAAAGGAGCGTGGGTCAGGCAAGCACAGTGCAGCTATCTCTCCCCCTGGGGAAGGGCAGGAGGTCGGTGATGCTGCCAGCCCCGCTGTGCTGCAGGTTGTGCTGTACCTGCGGGAGCACAGCACTGGGTGGAAGGAGCAGCCCTCCAGATGGATGAGCAGAGCTGGAGCAATAGGCACCCATAGCCGGCACTGTGGGGGCACTGCTGGGATGGTCACCAGCAAGAAGGTCAAGAACTGGGGACAGCTTTGTCCCCTTGGTGCGACAGCAGCCTGATGTTCTGCATGGAGGGACCTGGGGCAGCGAGCAGAGGGGGAACGGAGCAGGGGTTAAAGGACAACGCTATAGAGCAGGAAGGGTCCAGCAGAGCTTGTATCGAGTCAGGAAGAAACTTTCCCCTGGGACACAGCACCATTGTGTCCATGCAGCTGCCTCTGCAGTGCCTGCCTGGGGACACCACTCCCCTTTTCCTGCTTGCTTTAAAGGGTCCCCCAAATAGGGACCCGCTGGAGAGCAGGGGGGGCAGCCTGAGGACAGCTCTGCGTGGGAGAGGAGGCAGGGGGAGAGAAAAGCATTGCTCAGGAGAGCTGCAGGCAAGGGAGGGCTGGGGATGGCACAGCAACCAAGCACTCACCGCAGTCCGTGTGCCCGGACCTCCGTCAGCTCCAGCCGGGACGCTGCTGCAGAGCTGGCTGCCAGGCCGCCTCGTCTTCTAAAGGTCACAGCCAGAGGACCTTGCAGTAAATATAAGGTGCTGATGGGAAGTCCTGCTCCGGCGTCACCACCTCCTCTTTTGCAGGAGGGCTCTGCCTGCTCCGGGAGGTTTGGGAGGGGGCCAGAGCATCCCTGCATCCCTGCTGGAGCTGCTCCCTGCTGAAGCTGAAGCTGTGCAGCGTCTGCTGCATTGTGCTGAAGGCTGCTGCCCAACACTGCTCTGCTCAGCCCTACCCCGTGCCCACGTGGAGGGAAACAGGAGCCATCCTTGGGTGTTTTAACCCTCCCAGTCCCATTTTTGCAGGGCAAATAGGAGGAATGGAGAAGCCTGGCAGCTCCGGGTGCAAGCAGCCAGCAGAAAGGATCCCTGAGCCCTGCATCCCATCCCTCTGGGGAGGTGACAGTGTCCGAGCAGGGGGTGCTCGCCTTCCCTGTAACCAGACACGGCAGCCTTGTGCTGGGCTCAGCAAAAAGAGTTTCCTCTGAGCATCAGTATCCCTGCGCCGGACATCTGAGCACCGTGCCAAATTCCCCAGTGCCTTTTCCTGGCCGAGGCACACATGGCTGGCAGGGAGCAGAGCATGTTCCACATCCAGGGTGGCAGCAGATGTCTGACAAGAGCAGTCGGCTGAGGATAGTGGCCAGGGCTGCCAAGTGTGACAGCTCCATCACGCCTGGTGACAGGCAGTGCTGTGCTCCAAGCCCTGGGACTACAAGGGCACAGCTGGCCCCAGCACACTGCAGGCAGCACCTGCCCTGCCGCTGCAGGGCTGCTCAGTGGGAGCTCAGGGCTGCAGGGGCACAATGTCCTGGAGGAGGCTGGCTGTGAGCCTAAGTGCACCGGATTGTATCACCTGGCCGTATCTGCCACCTACCTGTATCCATCACAGCCACTGAGACACCTCCTGCAGCATCAGCAATACTCTCTATGCTGCTCCTGTAGCATCGGCTTCCTGCTCTGCCCAGCCCAACCTGCCTGCACTTCTCCTGTCTCTTCTCCAGCTCAGCAGCCCTCACTCCTCACCCCACAGACACAGCTGGCACCCTCGCAGGGTCCCCCAGGATACCCCAGTGCCTCACAAAGCATCCTGCTTTCTCCCTCCTTCCTCCCCGGTGCTTCAGGCTGGCCGGAAAGGAGCGTGGCTGGGACACGTGCCTTGTGCCAGGAAGGGGCGCTGTGCCCCCTCCTCTCCTGTTCCGCTGTGCCTGGCCTCGGGATTCGTCACCACCTGCAGATTGCTGCTCAGCACAGTGGTCTCACTCCCTAATGGGCCCTGGGTGGGAAGGCAGAGCTGCATTCTCACACTTCGCATTGCTGGAGGCCTCCATTAGCAGGGGCCGGCCCAGCGCATTTTTGGATGCGGTCTGCCGAAGGTTACGTCTAATGGATGGAGGGTGAGCAAGAGGTTGCAGATACATGAACTTACGGGCAGCCAATTATCTCAGAACACACTTGGGCAGACAAAATAAGTTTTCCGAGCGGCGCCAGGCAGACTTTGGGCACACCTGAACCCATCCATGTCCGGCTGCGTCCCCATCTGCGGCTGCAGGGACGCTCGGTGCCACCCCGGGGCTGGCAGAGCGTTGCTGGGGTGGGCGCTGGGCGAGAGCCCGGCCCGGTTCGGTTGTTTTCCAGGCAGAAGAAGACAACCCACCCGCCGCACGGCTGCATCCGCGCGAGCTCCGAGGCCGGGCGGGTGGGCGGAGCGGGCGGCCCCGCAGGGTGCGGGGGACACCGATGGACGCGGGGACACGGCGGGGCGGGGCTCGGCGCCTCCTCCTCCTCCTCCCGGCGCGGCTCCGCCCGGTTCGGCTCGGCCTCGGCGGGGGCGGCCAGAGCCGGGCGCTGCGGGCAGTCGGGACGCGCCGCAGCCATGGCCCCGCGCCTGCTGGCCGCGCTGCTGGGTAAGGGCGAGGGCTGCCCGCTGCCACCGGGAGCCGGGGGGATCCCCCAGAGCCCCGCCCGCCTTGGGGTACCCCGGGTTGGGTGACCCTCGTCTCCTCGCCCGCCCTTCGCTCGCGGCCGCTTTGCATCCGCACCGCAAGGAACCGGACGCCGCTGCTCGGACGAATGTGGGGAGCGCTAACACGATTACCTCTGCTCTGCAGACGGGAGTCCGAAGCGCTGAGGATAAGTGGTTTGGCCAAGGTGACTTCGCAGCCGAGTCCGAGAGAGGGCTCTGAAGTCCCGGCTCCGGCCCGCACCAATCGCTGCCGGCGCAGAGCTGCCTCCTGCGAGCGCTGCATCCCGCTTTGCCCCGCTCCGCTGCGCTGCTACCTGCCTGCTAACGGGGATAGCCGTAGGAAAGCAATGCACTGCTTCGGCGCAGCCGCCAGCGCGCCCGCCGACAGGTCATTCTTTTTACGGTTCATTCTGTAAAACAACCGTTTGCATGCGCTTCTCCCCAGCGCGACCCCCGTGCTGCAGGGCCGCCGTAGGGAGCGTGGGCTTGGGGGGCAGCCGAGCCCCCCCCGCTCCCCCTCGGCTGCTCGGAGGACGAAGGAGCCCACAGCCGTCCCCGTGCTGCAGCCACTGGGCTGCTTCCAAGCTTCCCGCATCAGCCCGCACCCAGCGGGGCACTGCGCTGCGTCGCTCGTCCCGGTGCTCCCGAAACCAAAGGCTGCTTTTGCGCTGGGAAAAACTCCCTCGGAAGGTGTGTTTTAGAAGGCATAGTTCTTAAGGTTACTTGAAGTGAGCTGGAGACTCAAAAAGGCGTTTAAGTACTGCGTCCCTGCAAGGGTTTGTCTGCCCCGCTGAACGTGCCCCGGCTCAGTGCTGCTTGCAGAGGGATGTGGAGATGCTGGAGAGCACGTGGGGGTGGAGGTGGCAGTTTGTCCCCCATGCTGCTGGGGGGAGCATCCGTGTGTGGGTGTGGGAGTCCAGGAACGCTGTATTCCCAGGGCTGGCAGCGGGCTCCTGGCTGCACCTGGCTGACCTGCTGCTGAGCGCAGCCCGGAGCTCGAGAGCTCCTCCTTTGTAGCCTCCAGGTGGAGGGGGACCCGTGCCAGGTCACGCTGATTTCTGTGGACAAGGAATGTTTGTCCGGAGTGGCTTTTTCACAGAGGTTGGAGGCGCCCGGTGCCTTTCTGGATGAACCCTATGAGCTCTTTCCATCACGGCAGTGGTTCCCAGACCAGCTTGGCAACGGAGGGCTGCCAGCCGCCCCTTTGGGGAAAGCCTTGCTCTGAGCTACTGCTGCTCTCTTGCACCCCAGGTGCACACTCCTCTGCTTGGGCAGCGGGGCACTGGTGCTGCTCCCCATCCATCTCTTGCAGTGGTGCTGCTTCTGGGGTAAAGCAGCCCCAGGCAGGGGCTGATGTTGGCCCCGAGGGGCACAAAGAGGGGCTCTGGTGGCACCAGGTGCAGCTGCATAGGGCACGCGGTGTCAAGTGGAGCAACAGCTCCCATCGGTGACCTCTCAGTGCGTTTCCTCCAGGCTTTATTTAGTGGCAGCTTATCGCTTCTGCCTTCCTGAGATCACAGGACGACAGGAACAAGATCAGCCTCCATTTACCCTGTGCATGTCATTCAGATTATGTTTATGATGTTATAACCGTGGCAGGTAGGATTAGAAGTGTCACAAGCCAGAAGGAATCGTCTTTCCTGCAAGTAAGTGTCCCCTTGCAGCACCTGCCTCCTCAGGCATCCTGCAGAGCCAGGCATCCCCAAGGCTGGAGGCACAGCCCCAGCTCCCCAGGACACCCTTGGCATACCCAGGGCTGCACAGCTCCCAGCGTTCGAGGGAGCCTCCAGCAGAAGGAGAAACGCTTCTTTGTAAAGTTAAGTAATTTCCCCTGCAGTGCTTCGATGCAGCACTGCAGCAGGGCCCAAAGCCCAGGATGCAGGGCTCTGGGCTTGGCTCGGGCTGCGACGTGCCTGGGGAGCTGTTAGCATGGCATGCGTGGGAGAATAAATCAGCGTGGAGGCGGCTGCAGGGGGTGGAAGCTGAGGGCAGCTCCTCTGAGTTGGGTGCCAGCAGCACTGGGAAGCGGCTGTGGGACCAGCAGTGACCCCATAGCACAGCTGTCAGCACTCAGGGGGAGCTCTGAAGGTGTGGGTGGGTCCTGTTGAGTGCTGGGTTGTGCCATGGCACGTGGATGGAGCCCTGGAGCACGGCATCCCTGTGCCGGGGCCATTCCTTGACAGAGACCCCGGCACCTCCTGCAGCTGGGATGTTCCAGCTCCCCGAAGTGCTTCTCCCTGCCAGCACAAAGGAGAGCAGTGCTGAAGGTCGTCCATTGGCAGCAGCAGCTGTAGGCAGGGCACGCTGTGCTGCTCTGCCAGGACCCGCTGCTCCGCTGCTGGGGTTAAGGGAAGGGCAGGGCAGGCTGGCAGCCATCCAGGGCAATGATGCTAATTGGAGTTTTAGCTCTTTCTTTGAGAACAGAGAGCTTTGCTTTGCTTTCAGAGTGCTTTTGCCTTTTTTTTTTTTTTTTACCTCCTCCCCTTCCCCTTTAAAGCTTAGCTGAAGGCACCGTGGATGACATGCAAATCAGGGCTCCCATTTGCATACTTTATCCGTGGTGATATTATGGATCCCTTTGAATCTGTGCTGTCTCTGGGGGAGCCAGGCAGGGCCTGATGCTGTCCTGTAGTTGAGGGCAGCGCTGTGGCCGTGCCCAAGGGATGAGGGCAGCTGGAGGGGCCCTGTGCTGCTCCCTGGCACTGTATTTCTCCTTGCAGCAACTGCTCCTCACGCTCTCCTCCCACCAGGTCTGTACATCCTCGCCATTGCCTTCGCCCTGGAGGTGTCAGTGGGGAAAACCAACACTGTGATGGCTCTGAATGGCTCCGATGTCCTGCTGCCCTGCACCTTCACCACCTGCATTGGCTTCCAGGACCTGATCTTCACATGGTACTTCAACTCGACGGAGCTGGTGGGTGCACTCCAGGCTTTGCCTGTGTTTTCCTGGCAGCTCCTTTCAGATGCGCTTCTCACTGCCTGCTTTCCTCCTCCCGTGGGATGCACTCCCTCTGAGCAGCTCCAGCTCAGGGAAACGTGGAATGGTGCGAAGAGGGAGCACCTGTGCTTTGGAACAAAGCTGGCCTGGAGTTTCTGCCACCTAAATCTGATTGTTTTTCATAATTCACAAATTGGCTATGCTTTAAACAAAATATAGTTAATTTTCTCCTCCTGTGCTTGCTCTGAAATGCTACAGCTTCGGTATAGATGTGCTTCCCTCCTGCTGTGCACACTGCTCTCCTGCTGGTGAGGAGGAGGATTTGGAGCAGCTCTGTCCTTAGAACCAGGATGGTCCCAGAATGAAGGGACCTTTCCCTGCCCCAGAGCAGTGCAGATCTGTGTGGCCCATCGCAGTGCTGCAGGGTGGTGGCACTGACCCACCGCATCCGTGCTTGGCCGTGCTGCTGCCATCCTGTGCCCGCATGCAGGAGCTGGGCAGAGCAGGAGTGCTGCATCCCACCGACCCCACCGTGCCTCTGCAGATCTACCACGGCAAGATCAAGAGCAAAACCTCTGAGCCCGTCCTCGTGGGACGCAACCCGCGGGTCGAGTTCGTCGGTTCCACCACCGGGAAGGACAACAACATCTCCATTGTCCTGAAGGACGTGGAGCTCAGTGACGCCGGCAGGTACACCTGCCATGTCCTCAACCCCAAGGAGAAGAAGGCGCAGCACAATGCCACCATCTTCCTCACCGTGGTCCATAAGAGTAAGTGGTGCTGGGGGGTGCTGAGCACTGGGCTCACGGTGCCTGGGGTTGTCCTGACTTGAACCCCCTCCACCCCTCCTGCCCGGCAGTGGAGAAGACAGACAACACCGTGACGCTCATCATTGTGGGTGTTGTGGGTGGACTCATCGGCCTCCTCATCCTCTTCATGCTTGTCAAGAGGGTCGTCCTCTTCATCATCAAGAAGACCCAGGATGGGAAGTGAGTGTGGGCACCCCGGGGGGGGCTGCTGGGGGGCGGTGGGGCCGGGTGTCAGCTGTGTGCTCCTCACAGGAAGGAGTGCCTCGTCAGCTCCTCGGGCAACGACAACACAGAGAACGGCCTGGCGGGCTCCAAGGCGGAGCAGAAAGCCCCCCAGAAGGCATGAAGCAGCCCCGTGCCCTGGGGAGGCGAGGTGGGGGCCGGCGGGGAGCCTCTCCCTTTTGTTTCCTTTCCAAACTGCCAACGCTCGAGACATGTTTCTATTACACACGTGCCTGCAACCTGCGCTGCTTCTCGGAAAAGACTTTGGCTGCTGCGGGGACTGGGGGGCTTCAGGTGGATGGGATGGAGCCAACTGCCTTCCCTGCCCTGCGCAGGGGCCAGAGGGGCCGGGGGTGCCGTGCCGTGCCGTGGGTTTGTGCTGGTTCTGCCCGTACTTACATCCCCTCGTCTGAAGGCAGTGATGCTTTCAGGGCTGGCTTTCCAAGGCTTTGCTCATTACGTGGATATTTTTATATTAGACTCCAATGGGAAAGTGGCTGAGTGCATTTCCCTTTCCCCTGAGGAAAGCTGTGGGGGGAGCACAGTTGGATCCTATGAGAGGAGCAGGGCCAGGGCTGCCCCGTCCCGCTGCCCATCCTGCCCCTGGCTGGCGGGGTGGCCCTGGGATGTCACCGTGCCTCAGTTTCCCCATCTGTAAAATGGGGAAAGCAGTGCTGCTCTACCTCACAGGGATTGCTGTGAGGCTTCTTTGGCTCACTCTTTGTAAAGCGCTTCAGGATCTCTGGGTGAGGGGTGTGCAGGAAGCCAGAGCGTCCCCGCAGAGGGTTTTGGCACTGGGGAGACTACGCTGAATTTCACTTTCCCCATCTGTAGCGCAGGGTTCAGCCCTCGGCTGCCCCCCAGGGGCTTTGCACAGCACTCCGAGCTCCCAGGCAGAGGCACACTGCGAATGCCCCGCGTTACCCCTGTCGTGCATGAGAGCTTGGGCTGGAGCCGCCCCGAGACCCCCGGCCCCCCTCACAGAAAGCCTCCAGGGCAGGAAGGGATTTTTTTTACAGAACTGTTTTTAGCTGTCCTATAACCCGTCAGCCTTTTTTAGTCGGTATCTGGACACAGTTCCACCTACCCCAGGATATGCAATGCTGTACTATGCATGGATTATTCCTCTGGCTTGATGGAGGAAGTCAACATAACCCCTGTCTGAAATGCAGTTCTGTCTGTACGCCTACAGATGCAGTGCGGAATGCAGTGCAGGGTGGGGGGAGTTCTGCAGGACCCCTTCTCCTGGGGCCTTCCATGGCTCTGTGGGATGAAGGCACTGCCTGAGGTGTGAGCTGTGACGGACACATATGTACACACATGTATCAACACCTGTAGGAGATACCTGCAATAAACACCAGGTGTGCACCACGTGCTGCGTGATGGCTTCAAACACCTTTTTGCACCGTTAGGGTTTGCCCAGCTTTGCCTTGAGCGAAATAAAGTTTCGGTTTGCCAGGGGTAACTCTCTGGCTTGGACTCCTCCAGGTGCTCATTTGGCCCCTGCTTGCTTTAAGAAGAGCAGGGATGGAAAAGCAGCCCAGCCCAGCACAGTGGGCTGGTTGCGGGACAACCAGCGAGCAGGAGGGACAGACAGAGCCTTCAGAGGCTGTGTGGAAAAAAAAAACACAAATACTTTATTTTAATGGCGATACACTGAAGCACAAACATCATTTATCTCTGTAAAACAGTAATGAGCGAAGAGCAGCGTAGATCCTGACGCAGCAAGATCAGCACAGGGCAATAAATTAATCTTTCTCTGGAAGGGAGCTCCAGCTGGGTGCATTCTGAGGCTGCGGCCGCTGCCTGAGCTGCCCTTTGCCTCCTCGTCCAGGCCCCAGCACGGCACCAGTGTCCTGGCAGGTCTCAGAGCTCCGACTGCAAGGGGAGAGAGGAGAGGAATGGTACAGAGGAGCCACAGCACAGCAGTGACAGTAATGTGCAAAGGGCACTGACCCTGCGGACGGCGTAGATCCAGTCGAGGTACATTCGGACGCTGGTGTAGACACCGGGCGTGCTGGGGGTGCCACAGCCGAAGCCCCAGCTGACGATGCCCACCACCTGCCAGTGCCTATTTGAATACAGCAGCGGCCCTCCGCTGTCCCCCTGCCAAAGATCAACGCTGGCTGTGAGCATCACTCTGGGCACGCGTCCCCTCCGTGGGGCTGTTCTATAGAGCAACCTGCCCAGTTCAAAGAGTGGGCACCCCAGTGTGGTGGGACACCCGATGCTGCCCCTCACCTGGCAGGTGTCCACCCCGCCCTCGGGCAGCCCTGCACACAGCATCTTCTGTGTCACCTTGCCGTGGTACGCCTCCAGGTTGCACCTCTGCACGCTGCTCAGCCTCACCTCCGCCTGCTGCAGGGTCTCTGACAATTTGCCTGCACACAGCAAAAAGTGGCCGCTCAGAGGTGTCCCCAAGCAGCCCCCCAAGCAGCGTGGAGCCCGCGATGTCCTGCTCACCGTTCTGCTGTGTGTAGCCCCAGCCTATCACCCACAGCGGGGTGCCCGGCTCCAGCTCCTCATCGAAGTAGGGCAGGCAGATGGGCTTGGTGCTGTCTGCAGGGCAAGGCACAGTGAGGTGCAGAAGGTGCTGCTAAGCACCCCAAGCACGGCGTGCAGCCAGCACAGCCCAGGCAGTCGGTGCCTCCATCCTTCTGCACCACGTTATGCTGTAACACAGGCTGACCTGCCACGGCCGTGGGAGCCTGGGATTGTGGGTGCAAGGTGCTGGGGTGCACCACGTCTCACCTGAGATACGTAGAGGGACCTGCAGCTTCACCAGCGCTATGTCATTGCTATTGGGAGACGTGGGCATCCGCTCAGCCAGGAAGACCTTCTCCACGGTGAGGGTGGCAGGGCCAGAGAGGACGTGGGAGCCGGCCTTCACGCGCCAGCTGGGGATGATGGGGTTGTTCCTGCACACGGACACATTACTGCTCCCATCCCCTCCCATCCCTCCCATCCACGGCAGGCACAGTGCTCCCCATGCACTACTCAGCGCTGCTAGGGGACGCTTCAGCCCCGGCTCACCTGAAGCAGTGCGCGGCGGTGAGGATCCAGCGGGGGTCGATGATGCTGCCGCCGCAGATGTGCTCCCCGCGGTAACGCAGGCTGACCTGCCATGGCCAGGCCTCGATGGCCGCCGGCCTCCCGCCCAGCACACGCGGCGTCCGCACGCTTTCCCCGCAGCCTTCACCGGGGCAGAGCAGGATGTGAGCTCAGGAAGGGACCGCTGGGATGGAGGCTGCCACGGCCTCACCCCTCTCCACGCCGCTGTGTCACCCCTCGGTGGCACGCTTGGCACACCCCCTTTTGTTCTCTGTTTGCACATTGTCCCCAGGCTTGCCCAAATCTGGTCACCCCCGTGTTTTGCTCTCCAGCCCACCGTGGGGTTTGTTTAATCAGAGTAATTCATCAGCAGAATTGAACCCATCCAGAGCCAGAGCTGTGCGCACGGGGTTGAGCTGGGGGCAGCACGAAGCCCTGGGTGCCGTAAGGCACAGACTTGTCCAAATACTTACTGGAACAAAGGAGTGAAACCACCGATCCAGAAAGGCATTTCCTAGAAGAGGGAGGAGAAGGGCTATGTCCTGCACAGGAGCAGCTCCAGCTCAGCACCAGGAGTGGCTCCCACGGGTGGCACTCACCTGCCTGGCTCAGGCAGCTGCAGGTGGCCGCTGCTCAGCACCAGCTCACGGGGAGGCAGGGGCTGTCCTGCACCTGCATCCACTGCGTAGAAAGTTGGGGTGCTGGAAGAGATGGGCACGGGTCAGGGCATGGCCAGGGGTTGGATATGGGCTGGGACTGAGACTAAGGGGTTGTCCTGCTCTTAAGATTTAGGAGCAGGTCCCAAATGTTCACCCATAGCTCCAATAGAGAGCTGAGATGGAGAGGGAGCAAGAGCTTAGGAAGGGGATGGGACCCTCCAAGAAATAGGAGAAAGGGTGGGGGGACAGAGAAAGAGGTTTGGGAGTTGGGCATAGCAGGGACACAGCACTGGGCTCCTCTGGGGAGCTGCCAGCTCCGTGGGCACAGTGAGTGCTCTGTGTTCTGGGGATGGGCTGAATCCATTAGTGCAGAACTCTGAGTGCTCCATAAGTAAACAACAGCCCACTCAGTGAGGCTTTCAGGGGAGAGTGATAGATTGAAGCAAGAGAGGTGTGGGGAAAGCAGCTACCTGCTGTAGCCCATTTCCTCACAGGCTGCTTTTGCCAGAGCTGCACTGAAGTGGTCAGAACAGATGCAGGACCAGGCTCCAGTGTTCCTGTTCAGCACCTGCAGGATCGATCTGTCCTTGGAAAGGCGAGCTGCAGGGAGGGACAGAGTCACCTTTGCCTTGGGTCACCTTGCTGGGCGGGGGCTTGGCTGCATCGTGGGGCTCCGTGGAGTGTCTGGCACTCACCAGCAGCCTGTGGCCCCTCGGGGACCTCCTGGGGACAGCTGGCCTCGTCCTCACCGTTCAGGCAGTCCGCCTCTCCATTGCAAACCTGCCCGAATGGCACCAGCTTCAGAGGCTGCTTGCAGATGAAGTAGTGGTGGTCCAGGTAAACCTTGACTGGGGAGAAGCAGGGAGCTCAGCTTGGGGCAGGATGGAGGTGGCACAGCCACTCCCAGCCGAGCACTGGGCAGGAGCAGGCACAGAACAGAGCAGGAGCCGCACCCAGGAGCCCAACTGCAGCCAGGCAGGCGAGGACGAGCACGGTCACCAGGATGGGGATGCCAATCCTCTTCCAGGAGCTCTGTGCCTCTGAGGCTTTGCCTCTCGTGCCGGGTTCTGCAACACAGAGCAGGGAGCCTGGCAGTGCCACCCCATCTGGCTGCCCCCATGGCACCCCTGGCCCCGTGGGCATTACCTTCACCGTTCAACCGCTCGGAGGCTGGGTCCTGTAAAGTGGAAGGGAAAAGCAGGCAGTGAGCTGAAAGAGCCAGCAAAGTGCTGCTGGTGCATGCTGGGGTCAGCAGCAGGAAGGCCAGCTTGCCCCATGGTGCTTGCTACACCGAGTCCCAAGCTGACATTGCCCAGGAGGGCAGCCCAGAGAAATGAGAACCACTGTGCTGGCTGGGCACAGAGCCTGCCCTGTGTTCAGCAGGGTTAGCTGGCAAACTGCCCCAGCAGGCTGCTGGAGAGACAGTGAGTGAGAGAACCTGCCTTATCCCAGCGCATCATCACCGGGGCAAGCAGCTGTGGTGTTCCCCAGCACATCACCAATACGGTTCCAGTAATGTATACATGCCATGCAATTATGATCCTAATTCAACAGAGGCTTAAAACTTCAGGTTTTATGAAACAAACGCTTCCAAGCGTTCCATGTCTTGTGCACCAAGAAATGAGTGTGGCTGCTGGGCTGTGCCACTCAGGCATGTCGCAGTGGGTGATGGCCTCTGGCTGGCCCAGAGCAGGGCCTGAAACTCTCTGCTCCAACAGGCGCAGTTGCTGCGCTCTGCAGGGCTGGGGAAAACCAGCCCAGCCCATGGGAACAAGTGCTCTCAGGTGGGCAGGCAGGGCTGTGCTGCTGCTAGGAGACATGGAAACAGTGCTGGGGCAAGCGATGAGCGCAGCACTGATCTTGCCTGAGTCTTTCAGGACTCTGTTCCTCTAGGAGCTCCCCGTAAGAGAGACGTGTGGCTGCAGGAGTCCCACTGTGCTGCAGTGGACTCGTTTCCTGCCCTGCTCACAGCTGCTGCCTGATGCTGGTGCCTTGGAACTGAGCTCCTGGGTGCTGTGGGAGCAGCATGGCTGCGTTTCATCCTAATGCCCTTCAGCCCTGAGAGCATTTCTGCAGCTGGACACCACCACGGCAGGTAAGGGTGGACTTATTGCACCAAGAAAAGGGATATTAAAATGGGAGCTGCCTCAGGGGCTGTCTTTGCAAGGGTGCCTGCTTGCTCTCTAAGCCTAAAAGCAAGAACTTCACTGGTTGAATTCAAAGCCAGAGCTATGCTAGCTCCTGTGTGGAATGCAGGCACACGATTTCCTTGGGAACCCATTGCTACCGTAACTAATTGTGCCCCCATGCCTTATTGTCTGGAAAAACACAAACGCAGCTGTGGCTGGCCTGCCTTCAGTTGCTGCCTGGGCACAGTGCATCCAACAGGCTGTGCTGGGAGCCTGTGCCACAGCTCCTGGAGGTGGGATGCTCCAGTTTAAAATAGCTTCAGCCTGCGCTAAGGGCTGTGTCCCAAGCCCTGCTGCCTCCTTGGCTGCAGGGAATCCAACCCGTGTGCATGCAGCCATCGATCCTGTGCAGGGGCTGAGGTCCCCATCCCAGTGCTGCTGGGGGGTTTTGTTGGGCCATGCATTGCCGCTCAGCTAAAGAAAGCTTTTGGTCTAGGATAGGGACTGCATGCCAGCCTGGGGGTAGGTGGCCACGGCTTTGCTTGCTAAAAACCCCTGCAGCAAACAGCGCTGAGCTGTCGAG